AAAAGAAGAAGTAGAAAGAAGAAAAGTAGAGAGAAGAAGAAGAAGTAGAAGAATAGAAGTAGAAGAAGAAAAGAAGAAGTAGAAGAAAGAAGAATAGTAGAAGAAAGTAGAAGTAGAAGAAGTAGAAGAGAAGAGTAAGAAAGAAAAGTAGAAGAAGAAAAGTAGAAGAAGAAGTAGAAGAAGAAGAAGTAGAAGAAGAAGAAGTAGAAGTAAGAAGTAGAAGAAGAAGTAGAAGAAGAAGAAGTAGAAGAAGAAGTAGAAGAAGAAGAAAGAAGAAGAAGAAGTAGAAGAAGAAGAAGTAGAAGAAGAAGAAGAAGTAGAAGAAGAAGAAGAAGTAGAAGAATAGAAGAAGAAGTAGAAGAAGAAGAAGAATAAGAAGAAGAAAGTAGAAGAAGAGTAGAAGAAGAAGAAGAAGTAGAAGAAGAAGAAGAAGTAGAAGAGAAGAAGAAGTAGAAGTAGAAAGAAGAAGAAGAAGTAGAAGAGAGAAGAAGAAGTAGAAGAAGAAGTAGAAGAAGAAGTAGAAGAAGAAGTAGAAGAAGTAGAAGAAGTAGAAGAAGAAGAAGAAGTAGAAGAAGAAGAAGAAGAAAAGAAGTAGTAGTAGTAGTAATAATAATAATAATAATTTGTTCCCATGAAGCAAGGAAAAAAAAAGTCCACTCCATGACAGTGACAAGATAAGGGGAGATAACGTCTGATAAGAACTGACCTTTGATGAGCGTAAAGGAGGGTGGAGCTGATAAGGAAAGATTAGATGACCATCGCCCTCCCCTTGTTTTTGCTGGTACACAAACATTTCTGTCTGTCTATTTGTCTGTCTGTCAAGCTCCCTGTCTATGGGTCTAGCTCTCTGTCTCAGAGAGAGCCACAAGACTGCGTCATCAGGAAAGTAGGATGGAGGGAATGATGACACACGACCATTTACCTAGGATAACTACATAACACAACTGCCTGCTAATACTTTGCAGAAAACTGCTCAGACGAGGTGTTTTGTCTTTGCACATAAAAAAAAAAGTTCACAAAAATGCACACACACTGGTTTTATGTGTGAGGAGTGTAAAACACCATTGTGTATGAAAACATGTTTCAAAGAGTTCCACAAGCTGCAGAACTTCTAGGAATATGTTCGGTCACTATACATTGGTATATATATTATAGAACAATAGTATAAAAAAAATTTTGTATTTGTTTTTGTAAACAAGTTTTGTAAACAATATTGATAATTATGTTTGTGTGCTTATTGTGTTGTATACAATGAGTGTATATATATGTACATTGCACCTTACTTTGGCCTCATAGGCCACATAAGTTATGTGAAAAAATAAAATAGTGAAAAAAAAAAAAAAAAAAAACTTCAAATACAAGTAAACTAAAGTTTACCGGGTGAGCGGCAGTCGCCGCTGTTGCCATACGTGGTTCATTTTCTGCAAACTTCACAGCTCTATATCTAGGTAAGTACTGATGGCAAAAAAAAAAAAATTGGACTAAAACACTCAGAAAAATAATCTTAACATTTTCATACGAAAAAATAATTTTTTTTCGAATGCAGTGGACCCCTGCATACCGATTTTAATCCATGCAAGAGGGCTCATTGGTATGCGAAATAATCGGTATGCGAATGAATTTTCCCCATAAGAAATAATGGAAATCAAATTAATCCGTGCAAGACACCCAAAAGTATGAAAAAAAATTTTTACCACATGAAATATACATTTTCCTACACACAAAGAGAAGGATACATGCACAATAGTAGAGTAGTACATGCACAATATATATTGTGCATGTACTACTCTACTAAATGAAGAATAAATGACACTTACCTTTATTGAAGATGCAGCAATGACTGATGAGACACTGTGTCCTGGGAGTGCCTTTTCCTCCTGAGTACTGTAGGTCCTGTTTGGTATTTTCTTCCAGAACAGGCCTTATCACACTGTGTATGTCACTACGATTCTTAAATCTCTCAAATCAACCTTTGCTGGCTTTAAATTCACCAATATGAGCACTAGTTCCAGGCATTTTTCCCTGTTCACCTGGGTGTTAGTCGACTGGTGTGGGTTGCATCCTGGGAGACAAGATTAAGGACCCCAATGGAAATAAGTTAGACAGTCTTCGATGACACTGACTTTTTTGGGTTATCCTGGGTGGCAAATCCTCTGGGGTTAATTGTTTCTTGGTATATTCTCAATAAGCCACACCAACAACAGTGCTACAGCAGCAGCAGACGATGCTACAGCAGCAGCAGACGATGCTACAGCAGCAAGCAGCAGCAGACGATGCTACAGCAGCAGCAGCAGCTGGACAGTGCTACAGCAGACAGACAGACGATGCTACAGCAGCAGCAGACGATGCTACAGCAGCAGCAGACGATGCTAACAGCAGCAGACAGTACAGCAGCTGACGTGCACAGCAGCAGGCAGCTAGTACCACTCCAATAGTAGCGATGGTTGATTGGGGTTTATTATACAACCTGGCCAGCTCGGAGACACGCACTCCACTTTCATACTTATCAATGATCTTTTTCTTCATCTCTATAGTAATTCTCACCCTTATTGCTGTAGGGTTGGCACTAGAAGCTTTCTTGGGGCCCATGGTCACTTATTTTCCAGATAAAATCACCAAAAACACTGTAATAATATGAAATGTTACGATTGTATGCTTGGATGCTACCGCGGAGGCTGGCTGGTAAACAATGCCACCGGCGGAACATGTGAGGCTGGCTAAGGCGCACATTGGACGCGTCTCGGACGAACAGCGGTGAGCGGGTTTTTAAGCGGTATGCGAGGCAAAATTTTTGCGATTAAAGCAAGCGGTATGCGGATTAATCGTTATGTGATGCCAACGGTATGCGGGGGTCCACTGTATTTTGCAACATAGAATGACAGTTTCAGAAAGGGGCCTGCGACAGTCAAAGGGTTAAAGTTTTGACTGATGTCCGCCTGGAGCCTTGCAGTGTCTTCAATGGAGGATACTGTCATGCAAATTCAGGTGTCATCTGCAAAGGAAGACATGGCACTGTGGCTCATATCCCTGCCTATGCCCAGTATGAGGATGAACAAGATGGGAGCAAGTACTGTGCCTTGTGGAACAGAGCTTTTCACCATAGCTGCCTCAGACTTTACTCTCTTGTCTACTACTATTTGTGTTCTACTTGTTACGAAATTATAGATCCATCTGCCAACTTTTCCTGTTACTCCTTTATCACGCATTGCATTTTGCGTGCTATTACACCATGGTCACACTTGCCAAAGGCTTTTGCAAAGTCTGTGTATATTACATCTGCATTCTGTTTGTCTTCTAAAGCATCTAGGACCTTGTCGTAGTGGTCCAGTAGTTAGAACAGACAGGAGCGTCCTGCTCTAAACCCATGCTGCCCTGGGTTGTGTAAATGATGGGTATCTAGATGGTGTGGAGTTACTAAAAGTATTAGTCAGGGGGCTGAAGAGGGACTGTTGATGTGGTTTGCTCATTTAGAGAGAATGGAACAAAGAATGACTTGGAGAGAGTATAAATCTGCAGGGGAAGGAAGGCAGGGTAGGGCCATCCCTGAAAAGGTTGGAGAGAGGGGGGGTAAAGGAGGTTTTGTGGGTGAGTGGCTTGGGCTTCCAGCAAGCGTGTGTGAGCATGTTAGATAGGAGTGAATGGAGATGAATTGTTTTTGGGACCTGATGAGCTGTTGGAGTATCAGCAGGGTAATATTTTGTGAAGAGATTCAAGGAAACCAGTTAGCCAGACTTGAGTCCTGGAAATGGGAAGTACAGTGCCTGCACTTTAAAGGAGGGGGTTTGGGATATTGGTAGTTTGGAGGGACTTCCAAACTGTTGTTTCCAAGCACCTCTGCAAAGAGAGTGATTATGTATGAGTTATGGTGAAAGTGTTGAATGATGAAAGTTTTTTCTTTTTTTGGGGGGTCACCCTGCCTTGGTGGGACATAACCGACATGTTAAAAAAAAAAAAAAAAGATAGACTAAAGTGACCTGCACTTATTAAAAATAACCTAATGATTGCTTGAGGTCTGAATGTGAACTTTAGACATGCTTCCAGAAGCAGTCTTTCTTAATAATGTGGTCTCTTCTCATCTCTTCTCTTCTGCTATTAGCTATTTCAAGATTATTGACCCACGTTTTCCTAGTTGAAGCAAATAAGAACAAATTTAATGGCATCACTAAATGAAACATAAGCAGTGGCAAAAGATCAGCCCAGTTCTCGAACCTTTGTAATCATGAATATTACTAAAATTCCTTTTGACAAGATAGTTTTAAAACAATATGAGACATTAACTGGGAAGGGAAACTAACACACAAAAGGAGAACACAAACATGAGAGTATTGACAAAGATCCTGAATATCACCACTATTCACTTGCCTTTAAAACAAAACAATTTATACAGACTAAACAATCCCTGAGGAATTGGAAAGATGTGCACCACCTGATTATCTTTAAATAAAGATGTTTGGCCAACCAGCAACTTTATCAATTCAATATAGAGTATGTGAAGACATTTGAAGTTGAGATAACAAGTCCCTCAACTCAGGAGCTGGTGTTAAGTGCCTTAGTCTTGATTCTGAAGCATGGGCAGGAAAATGGACCTATTATACATAGATTGTAAACCTATACTACAGTCACAGTTAATGTACATTCAGATAATATTTGCTGAATATAGATAATAACCTCCTTGTCTTGGGAGATTCCTTGTTGCTGGCAAGGGGCTCTTGATCCAAGATATTGGACCTGACGTCCCTTTCTATTGATTGAACCTGTATGACTCCCATTCTCCCAGGTGCTGTATGACCCCTAGGGGTTTAGCACTTCCCCATGAATATAATAATCTTAATGATGATAATAATAGTCCTATCTGAAGAATTTTTATGAAACTTTAAAATTTCCTTATACTGTAATAATGGTCAATGTAATTATATTTCTCAAAATCTGCTTAACAAAATAATACTTTACATACTGTCTGTATTAAACTGTCAACATATTGAGGTATTGCTGTATTTCAGGTGTGGTTCCATGGAGAATGGTGTGCAACTCGTGGGCGAAATTGTTATAACACAAGATTGACTAAGGAAGGTGGTTGCTGTGTTTGGTACAATGAGCCACAGGTTAGTTCTGATGAACAGTAATAAGTCTTTGTTTTTGCAGATTTTGTCATGTTCACTAGGCACTAAAACAGTACAGGTCCGCCATCACAAATCTGGCAATCAGTTATTCGGTTCCTTCAGTTATTCAGCACTAATTTTGGCTAGCATAATTTCAAATTTCCAGGGTCGCCACACCAACCTGCTGGTACTGTTTGGTGGCGCTACTTGCTGCATAAGTCATTCCAATTTCTTTTTCTCCATTTATTGTTTTAACCTGCTTACTTTTAGCCCTAGCCATTGTTCCAATGAATAAAAAAAATGCTTCTCATTATGTAAAGCACCTACACAGTACATTATCCATTAAAGATAAGGTGGCTTTGAAGCCGCTGTCGGTTGTCATGAGCTCAGTCTCATGAAGCAGGAGAGTATGCTTTATTATTACGCTAATATCAACACTACAGCTTATTTGCCTATCACAATTGATCTAATATGACATAAGAAACAATATAAATAACATAAAACATGTTAAATACTCCAGAATGAATAATATTTGGCATAACACTGAGCAGTTCAACGGAGGTATGGAGAGGACATGGTAAACAAATACCATTCTCCTATCCTTGTCTTGGTGGCTTATATTAGAGAAAACGGAGTATAGCACAGGGCTAACTATGATATACACTCGTACTCCACCATAAACATGAAACAAAAAAGTTATTTTCTCTGTAGATTATCACACATAGCAGCATATGTGTAGAGAATCTAGTATAACCCAAAAAAAGTCAACATGGCTTATTTTTAGTACCTGGCTTGGATTAGCCATATATGATTTTTGGTAAATATTCGATTCCCAGCCAGGGTAGAAACATTAGGCGTGTTTCTTTACACCTGTTGTCTATATTTACCCATCAGTAAATGGGTACCTGGGTGTTAGTCGACTAGTGTGGGTGTTATCCTGGGACACTGACCTAATTTTCTTGAAATACTCAGCATAACAAGTGCCTTTCTATACAGTAGTATGTCACTCGTATTGTAGATAGAGACCCTCGTATTGTAGATAGTCTTAATGACCCTCGTGTAGTAGATAGTCTTTTTGGTATGATAATAAGATGTTATCTTCATTATAGAATAAAAAAATATTATAACATTTATATTATAATAATAAGGTAAAAGGACCCCAATGGAAATAAGTCACTGTGTCTGACTTTTTTGGGTTATCCCAGGTTCTCTACACACATGCTGCTATGTATGATAATTCTATGTAACTGTATTTGTGTATACCTGAATAAACTTACTGATATCAGCTAGGTCTGTATACCTTGTACATGTATGTGTAGTAAATAAAGATATTATTATTATTATTTTCTCAGTTGTTTGATGGGTTATCTTATTCAAACTTGGGCAATGTATGATGGAAAGATACTTCTTCACGTACACCAAAAATGAAAGAAATCAGACCATAAATAGCGGAGTTCACTTCGCAGCCATTAGCGGCCGCTTAGCGGTATATTTTTGTATGGTTGTTATGGTTGTATTCTCATTTTTTCGGTCTCATTTGATAGAGTGAAAGATATATTACAGAAATAGATATGATTTTGATTGCTTTCATGACGAAAAGTACCTTGAAATTGCGCTCACAGTAGCGAAAATGTTCTATTCTTTAGCGAAGCTCAAGAGTAAACAAATGGCATCACCGTCCAATACCTGTCCGCCTGCCAGTCCAGTACGCAGTCAAGAATGGGTTGACATTATTTATACAATTATTACAATAATGCAGTAGTCTGCATAACAGTAAATCTTCTATTTTTTTTTTTTTTTTTTTTTATGAATAAAAATTCCAAATGATAAGCAAGAGTAATATAAGAAGGGTCTGGAGCTGTGACTAATGAACAGAGAAAATGTTATTTTAGTGCCAGGAATGTCTACATTGTTTATTCTGGATCCTATTTTGAAATTGGCATCTGTTGAAATTTGTGTGAAATCTGCCAAATTGCCAATTTCTGACCACTTTATTGGGTAGTTGACATAAGTGAATGGGTGGTTTCTTGTACTCAGTTGACAGACTAGAAGTAAATAAGTTTATTCAGATATACACAAATACAGTTACATAGATTATCATACATAGCAGCGTATGTATAGAGAACCTAGGATAACCCAGAAAAGTCCAAGTGACTTATTTCTAGTACCTGGCTTGGGCTTGCCATATATAATTTTTGGTAAATATTTTTTTTTCTCGGTTGTTTGTTGGGCTATCTCATTGAAACTTGGGCAGTGTATGATAGAAAGATGCTTCTTAACATACAACAAAAATAAAAATGACGGACGATAAATAAGGGAGTTCACTTCTCAGCCATTAGCTGCCTCTTTGCAGTATATTTTCGTATGGTTTTTATGGTTGTATTCTCATTTTTTGGACTCATTTGATATAATGGAAGATATATTACAGAAATAGACATGATTCTGATTGCTTTCATGACGAAAAGTACGTACCTTGAAATTGAGCTCAAAGTAGCGGAAATGTTCGATTTTTGCCAATGTTCAATGAACTGTGTAAGTCAAGTTGGTTAATTTTATTAAGTGTATTCTAACTTAACCACTCTGTAATTCAGCAAACTCAGTAATCCGGCACACTACAGGTCCCATGATGCCGGATTTGTGATGGAGGACCTGTACTTATTTTAAGTGTGGGGAGAAATGTAAGATATTTGGTCTGATCCCCTAAAAAACTTCTGTTTGGTTCCTGGTGTAAAAAAAATTGTTCTTAATTAATGTATTGTAATTTTAATAATTACAATTTGCTCAAGGTTGGCTTGAATTTTCACCATAACACAGATGTCAGACAACATGGAAAGATTCTTCAATTTATATTTGAAGATTTTTAAAGGTTTCTCTAACAGAAATATATATTAGCTGCTATTTATTGCTTAACATAAGGTGATGAGAATATCAAATGATTTAGATAAAGAAAAATCGGATATCAGATTGGGGAGGAGTATGGAAGAAGTGAATGTTTTCAGATATTTGGGAGTTGCTGTGTCAGCGAATGGATTTATGAAGGATGAGGTTAATCATAGAATTGATGAAGGAAAAAAGGTGATTGGTGCATTGAGGTATATGTGGAGGCAAAAAATGTTATCTATGGAGGCAAAGAAGGGAATGTATGAAAGTACAGTGGACCCTCAACCAGCGATATTAATCCGTTCCTGAGAGCTCATCGTTAATCGAAATAGTTGTTAATAAAGTTAATTTTCCCCATAAGAAATAATGGACATCAAATTAATCCGTGCAAGACACCCCAAAGTATTGAAAAAAAAAAAAATTACCACATGAAATGTTAATTTTAATACACACAAACTGAAGAAGACATGCACAGTTACATGACACTTACCTTTATTGAAGATCTGGTGATGATTGATGGGATGGGAGGAGGGGAGACTGTTGATCTTCTTAGTGTTTAGAAGGGGAATCCCCTTCCATTAGCAATTGAGGTAGCAAGTCTTTTTCTGGGGTTACTTCCCTTCTTCTTTTAATGCCACTAGGACCAGCTTCAGAGTCACTGGACTTCTGTCGCACAACATATCTGTCCATAGATACCTGTACCTCTCGTTCCTTTATGACTTTCCTAAAGTGGTTCACAACATTGTCAGTGTACAGGTTGCCAACACGGCTTGCAGTAACTGTGTCAGGGTGATTTTCATCAAAAAAGGTTTGCACTTCAAACCACTTTGCACACATTTCCTTGTTCAGGTTTCAGTCCTTCACTGTCTATGTACTCCTTGAATTCCTGCACATACTTTTCAGCTGCTTTGTGGTCCAAACTTGCAGCCTCTCCATGCCTTATCACACTATGAATGCCACTACGCTTCTTAAATCTCTCAAACCACCTTTGCTGGCCTTAAATTCACTCACATCACTAGTTGCTGGCATTTTTTTAATTAAATCGTCATGCAACTTCCTAGCCTTTTCACATATGATCGCTTGAGAGGTGCTATCTGTTTCTCATTTATCCACACCAATAAGAGTCTCTCAACATCTTCTATCGCTTGCGATCTCAGTTTCGAAAACTTAGTTGCACCTTTGGCAAAAACAGCTTCCTTGATTGCCGTTTTCTTGCCCACAATAGTAGCGATGGTTGATTGAGGTTTACTATACAACCTGACCAGCTCAGAGACACGCACTCCACTTTCATACTTAGCAATGATCTCTTTCTTCATCTCCATAGTAATTCTCACCCTTTTTGCTGTAGGGTTGGCACTAGAAGCTTTCTTGGGGCCCATGGTGACTTACTTTGCAGGTGCAGTCACTACAAAGGCTGTGGTAATATGAAATGTTCCAGTTGTATGTTTGGAAGCGACCGCAGTGGCTGGCTGGCTTGTAAACACTGGCACCCATGGGACAAGTGAGGCACGCTCAGGCCAAAGTGGACGCGTCTCGAACGGAACGAATAGTGTTGGTCGGGTTTTTAAGCACTAGTCAAGGCAAAATTTTTGCGTTAAAATGTATCGCTAGTCAGATTTATCGTTAATCGATGCCATCGCTGGTTGAGGGTCTACTGTATAGTAGTACCAACACTCTTATATGGGTGTGAGGCTTAGGTTGTAAATGCTGCAGCGAGGAGGTGGTTGGAGACAGTGGAGATGTCCTGTCTAAGGGCAATGTGTGGTGTAAATATTATGCAGAAAATTCGAAGTGTGGAAATTAGGAGAAGGTGTGGAGTTAATAAAAGTATTAGTCAGAGGGCTGAAGAGGGCTTGTTGAGGTGGTTTGGTCATTTAGAGAGAATGGATCAAAGTAGAATGACATGGAGAGCGTATAAATCTGTAGGGGAAGGAAGGTGGGGTAGGGGTCGTCCTCGAAAAGGTTGGAGGGAGGGGGTAAAGGAGGTGTTGTGGGCGAGGGGTTTGGACTTCCAGCAAGCGTGCGCGAGCGTGTTAGATAGGAGTGAATGGAGACAAATGGTATTCGGGACCTGACGAGCTGTTGGAGTGTGAGCAGGGTAATATTTAGTGAAGGGATTCAGG